CAGCAGGAAGGGAGCGTGGTGTAGATCTGGCCTGTAGCTACTTCTGTCTCTTCCCCCAGCTCTGCCTTCCAGGGACACGGCCTTTGTCCAGGTGAGGAGACACAAGCAGGCGGCGGCAGGGACAGGAATTGAACGGCAAGCCACCTCCCAGGTGAGTTGGCATTTCCTCTCTCCTCTCTGAAATGCAAGCTTGCTTTTCAGGACTTAATAATGTTTATTTTCTTTTAAAAGTTTTCAATCTAAGAGATCTGTCAGGGGAGCTGGTTCCCATTTCCTCACATTCTGGTGAGTGATGGGCTACAGGGACAGCCCAGGGCCTCCCTCCCGGCTTCCTCTTCATCCCACTCAGAGTTCGTTCTTCATTGAAGAAACGATTCAGCCCCTCCCTGTGCAGCTTTTCTCAGAGGGACTCTGACGGAGCAGAAAGGTACTCCTTAGCGCAAACAGGACAGCCCCTTGTGTTGTACCTGGTGTGTTTGGTATTCTCTTTGTGCCAGCCCCTGGAGAGACAGATGGCTAAGCCCCAGCCCCTGCTCCGAAGGAGCTCACAGCCTGTGGGTGGAAAGTCATGGAAGCATACAAGGTTCTGAGTGTGAGTTTTAGGAGCAGGTACTGTGAGAGTGGGCGGGAGGAACTCGTGGCTCCTAGCTGCCTGTCGGGGAAGAGTAAGGAGGTGATTTCTGAGCCCCATGTTTTGAAGGGAGAGGAGAGGTTTGGCAGACAGAAGAGGAAAGGGCAGCCCTGGTGCAATATGGAAGGCTGTCTTTTCCTCACTTGATTGCGTTGCTTCTTAGAATGCTAATAAAGTCTTTGTTTCTGTCAGCTGTGTCTCCTAAATATGTGATCGCCAGCTCATAAACGTATGAGCTGGGTTCCAGTTGCCCAGACTGCATAGATTACCAGTGATCTCCATCCACATTACCAAAGGCAGTGCTTAGTTCTTCGTCTTTCTTGATTATCTTTGGCACTTGACGACCGTTGGCGTTTGAAATAGTTCAGGGGTTGGCAGGTTTTCACTGTAAAGGGCCAGGTAGTAAATATTTCAGGCTTTGCAGGCTGTGAGGTCTCTGCTGCAGCTACTTCCTTCTGCCTTGTAGAGCTAAAGCAGCCACAGAAAATATGTAAGTGATTGGGTGGGGTTGCGTTCCAATAAAATTTTACTTACAAAAACATGTAACTGCCACCCCCTGAAAGAGCTCGCTCTGGCCCTCCCACCTTCCTGACTTCTCAGCTTTCACTGCTGGTTCCTCCTCACCCTCCTGACCTACAGCTGTCCCTGTGCCTCTGGGCTCTGTACTTGGCTCTCTCCTCTTGTCTGTCTGCAGCACTTTCCTTGGGGAGGTCAGCCCGTTCTTGTCTGCACAGACCAGCCAAGCACTGGCTTCTCCCAATCCACCCTTCCAGCCCAAAGCTCTCCTCTGAGCTCCAGGCCTCTGTGTCCAACTGGATTCCTCCACGTGAATGTCGAATAGGTAACGCAAACCTAACACGTCCAGACCCAGGTTCCTGGGGTTCCCCCCAACAGTTGCCTCTGCCTCTGTGGCAGTTTCATGCTCTGAGTTACTCAGGCCAGAAGCTCTGCTGTCATTCTTGTCTCCTCTTGCCCTCACCTCCCACGTTTGGTCCATTTGCAAATCCTGTCAGCACTGTTTTCATGTTGTACCCAGAATCTGACAGTTATCACCACTGCCACCACCGCCTCGGTCCTCATTATCTTGCCGTTGGCCCCTTCTACTCATGCTCCCCAGGGTCACTTCCCAATGCAGCAGCCAGAGGAGTCTGTTCTGCCACTCTCTGCTCAAACGCCCCAATGGCTTTCCCAAATGAAGGCCAGCTCCTTAATGTGACTGACAGGGCCCCGAGTGACCCGGCCCCCTGAACTCTGATGTGTGCTACCACACTCCCCCATCACTCACTTTACTTTCTCAAAAGTTTCCTTCTCATTTTCCTGATCACTGTGTCTAAAATTTCAGAGCCTCCCACCCAAATTCCTCACATCCCTCTTCCTTGCTTTACTTTTTAAGACTCTTAGCACTTTTTAATATACTATATACTTAGTTTATCTGGTTTTCTCTTGTCTGATTCTCTTGTACCACAAAGTACGTTTGACACAGCCAGGGATTTTGGATTCTTTTGCCCCAGCGCCTGATACGGAAAATAGGTGGTGGATGAATGTGTGAATGTAGTCTTAAAGTTCTCCTGGAGCCAATGTTTCACTATTTAATATAGCATCACAGTGATACTTTTTATACCTGAAAATGTGCATTATCTCTGATTACTTTCTATGAGTATATTCCCAGAAGTTTTTCATTCCTTGTGGATTAAAGTTTACCAAAGTTACATGAAAGCAAAATACTTTAAAAATTATATGTGGATGGAACAGCAGTAGGGTCTCAAAAGCTAGAATTCTAGATTTTACTTTTTTACTTTAAAAAAAAGTAAACTTTACCCCCCTCAAAAAAATTATTACAGAATTTTCATTTGTGTATTTTAAAAATTAACTGAATTGAATTGAACCCAAAAAAACCCCTTTGATGCATTTTTTTTTCCTGTAAAATACTTTTTTTTAAAACAAGTTTGTTTTAATTTTTATTCATTTGTTTGGCTGCACCAGGTCTTAGTTGCGGTGTGTGTGATCTTTAGTTGTGGCACGTGGGATCTAATTCCCCGACCAGGGGTCGAACCCGGGCCCCCTGCATTGGGAGCATGGAGTCCTGACCTCTGGACCACCAGAGAAGTCCCTCCTGTAAAATACTTTTTACTCGTTTTTTCCTGTAAAATGTTAACACAAAGTATTTTTCTGTAAGGATAAGGTTGCTTTTTGGTTTTTATTTGTTTTTAAAGTTTATCTCGTCTTTATTATGATTGAGAGTTAAAGCACCAGATCAATTTCATATTATCAGTACAGATCCTATACCTGTATGTTTCCTCCATGGTGTAGTATGACCCTGTGAAACCCACTTGAAAGTCTGCACGTCTGTATGATGGCAACAGGAATAAGACCAGGACCTGTACATTCTCGCTGTGTCCTCACATGGTGGAAGGGGCTGGGGAGGTCTCTGGGGCCTCATCTGTAAGGACACTAATCCCATTCATGAGGGTGGGCCTCCCAGAGGCCCCCACCTCCAAATACCATCGCACAGGGCATTAGGATGTCAACATAGGAAGTTTAGGGGGACACAAACATTCAGACAAAGAGCTAACAAAAGTCATTGATTCTGTATATAAGGAGCAATCTGTATAAACTGGGAAAATGTCTTAAAAGGATATGCACGTACTGTTACTTTGGGGTCCCTCTGGAATATGAGATTGGAGAGATGGGGAAGGGGATATTTCTTATTAAGAAGAAAAATCAAAACCAAAAATACCCAGTTGCCAAGTATAAGAAAATACTTGAACTTGTATTCTTCTCTTTAAGGGCCCCCAAATTCCAGTTTTACCAATAACAAAGTAGTAACAAATGCTAGAAAAATAGGCAACATTTTCTCTGGCTCCTACAGACTTATAAAGTTACTCTAAAGATCCTGTGAAGATATTTTAAAAGATACTGTAATTTGTATACAATTTATATACTACGTATAATGTATATATTTTGTTTCATTTAGTAAGGAATATCAGAAAGCTATTTGAATATCTGAAAAAATTAAGTACAAGACTTCCCAGCCAAGGAGCAAGCGGTTAGAATTGTAAGATTGGAACCTGCAAAAACCCATCATTCATTCATTCATTCATCCATGCTGTGCCGGGTCTCAGTTGCTGCACGTGGGATCTTTGTTGCGGCATGTGAACTCTTAGTTGTGGCATGCATGTGGAATTGAACCTGGGCCCCTGCATTGGGAGCACGGAGTCTTACCCATTGGACCACCAGGGAAATCCCAAAATCCCATCTTTTATTTTTATTTTTATTTTTTATTTTTTATTTTGGCGGTACGCAGGCCTCTCACTGCTGTGGCCTCTCCTGTTGCGGAGCACAGGCTCCGGACGTGCAGGCTCAGCGGCCATGGCTCACGGGCCCAGCTGCTCCGCAGCATGTGGGATCTTCCCAGATCGGGGCATGAACCCGTGTCCCCTACATCGGCGGGTGGACTCTCAACCACTGCGCCACCAGGGAAGACCCCCAAAATCCCATCTTTTAGAATTGGGTCAGAAAAGAAGCAGAAAAGTAGCCTCTGTCTCAGCACCTATGTCTTTGAACGCAATTGAAAATGTTTGCCAAAAAAAAAATCTGCATTGAAATGTTTTGTTTTTAAACCACTTTGTTGAGGCAAGATTGACACATAGAAAGCTGCACATTTTTAATATGTACAACTCACCGAGTTTGAGGATAAATATATACTCATGAAACCAGCACCCCCATCAAGGCCATTGACTCATCTATCAGTTCCCAAAGTTTCCTCCCTTCCCTCTTTAGTATTCTTACTTTTTTGGCAGTGAAAGCACTTAGCATAAGACCTACCTTCTTGGCCGACTTTAAGAATGCAGTGCAGGGAATTCCCTGCCGGTCCAGTGGTTAGGACTCCGTGCTTTCACTGCTGAGGGCCTGGGTTCAGTCCCTGGTTGGGGAACTAAGATCCCACAAGCCGTGGGGTGTGGCCAAAAAAGAAAAGAATACAGTGCAGTATTTTTAGCTATAGGCACTGTGCTGTACATTAGAACTCCAGAACTTACTTATCCTGCATTACTGAAACTTTGTACTCTTTGATCATCACCTCCCCATTTCCCCCTCCACTGGCCCCTGGAAGCCACCATTCTACTCTATTTCTAAGAGTTGGGACTATTTTAGATTCCACATATAGGTGAGGTCGATCATGCAGTTTTCTCTCTGGCTTACGTCACTTAGCATATGTTTTGAAATGTTTGGGTTTTCATATACCTAAAGATTTCCACTGCTGAGTCTTGCGCAATTTTCAAAACTTGAAGGCATTTAAGGAACCGCTGGTGCAAAATGCAGGTCAGTAACAGATCAGGGTGAACAACCCGGGGAACGAGAGCCAAGCCTGCCTAGTGAGGTAAGCGCTCCTGCCAGCCACTCAGCCAGCAAATCCGTTCCTCTGCCTTTGAGGCTGGGTGCACTCACTTGAGGACTTGTTGCTGTGAGCTGGCCTGCATTTGAGCACATCTTTGCTCAAGGCTGACTAAGCAGTTCCCGGCTGTTTCCCGCAAGTGTTACCAGGTGTTTTCCATGTTTTATGGGACATTGGCATCTCCTGCTTAGGAGAGCCCTGCATTGGGACTTCACCATCTCCACACAACGCAAGATACCACTCACAGAACCCTTTACACAGTTCAGTTAAAAATCTTCAAAGTTGGTGCAGGTTAAAGAACGTGTGATAGTATTATATATTATTCAACAGATAACAAATCTCCAGGGGGCTTTCGTTGCTGGTAGAATTTAAATGGAAAGGTTGAGCCGTGGGTCAAAGTCGGCACAGTGAACGTTCATTTGGCGTTTACAAGGCACCTCACATTCTGAGCGCTGTGCTTGTGCCATCCTTTTTAACCCACGTCACAGTCTGTGAGGTTGGTTTTATTGATGTTTCCCTTTTAAACATGGGCAACTGAGACGTAGAGGGGTTAAGTAACTAACCGAGGTTTCAGAGCCGGTGAGTGGACAGAGTCCTGAATTCAGCCTTCGGGGTAGTTGGACTTTTTTACTCCCTGATTTGAGTCTATGCTTTGAAAATCCCAAGGCTGCCAGATATTTAAATATACCTTCTGTTAGCCTCAGATTCTGGGGGTCAGAGTTTGAATTGAATAAATGTTCAAAATACATTAGGATGTATCAGAATTGTACGCTGAAATCATAAAATTATGCTACATAAAATTCCACCAGCAGTGCATGAGTAGCAGACTCAGTCGTAAACGGGCTTGCAATGCCTCCTCGATACTTGCCCGCTTCTCGGAGATGGCACCTTGATTCTTTTTTTGTAATTGTGGTGTAGTTGACAACATAATGATTCACAATTTTTAAAGGTTATACTCCACTTATAACTATTATAAAATGTTGGCTGTATTCCCTGTGGTGTACAATACACCTTGATTCTCAAAGGCATCTTATTAATGAAAAGCTTTATCATATTTTTCATTCTAATTATACACATCTTTATTTCAGAAAAAAAGAATTCGGTTAGTTTGTTTGTTTTAAATGAACATTCAATATGTGGTGAACACTAAAAGCAAATAGAAATCCTTAGAACACAGTTTGGGGTTTAGTCATGTGATGTTCACCTCCAGGTTTATTTCCCCATTCTTTTTTTTTTTCCCCGGGAGAAAGAAGGATTTATCATTACTTGCAGGAAGTGATGAGAACACTGGGGATCTTTCCCAAAGCAGTGTCTCCTGTTTCCCCATTCTTGTGCTGATCCAGGGCACTTGACTGTCCTCATGGTAAAAAACGCTCTGGTACCTGTTGTGCGTGGAACAATTTAGCCTCCGTTATTTATTGTTTCTAATTGATGTCACATATTTCTCTTGTGTGTACCTCCTGTCACCAGCACAAAATTGCCAGTTCTCCAAGGGTAGAGGCTCTATTTTTCTCTTTTCTCTGAAGTTTATGATGTAATGAGGCCCGCTGTCCAGTAATTAACTAGATTTCCACATCACTGGGTATTTTCCCTTACATGTATAATCTCCTACCTAAAATGAAGAGGGGGTAACCCTTAGGCCCCTATATTAACTTGCAAGGACTGCCATAAGGAGAACACCACAGGCTGGGCAGCTAAAACAACAAACAGTATACCGTTCTGGAGGACAGAAGTTTAAGACCAAGGGGTGAGCGGAGTTGGTTTCCCCTGAGGCCTCTCTCGTTGACCTGCAGACAGTCGCCCTCTCGCTCTGTTGTCACATGGTCCTCCCTCTGCGCTCACCCATCCCTGATTTCTTCCTCCTCTTACAAGAATACCAGTCAGATTGGATCAGGGCCCAACCGTGTGACTTCATTTAACTTTTAGTCACCTCTTTGAAGGCCCCATCTCCAAATACAGTCACCTTCTGGGTACGGGGGGTTGGGGCTTCGACGTGTGCATTTGGGGGGCAGGGCCTGAGCACTAGTCCAGCAAGAATGTGGTTTTGTCGTTTCAGAGCTTGGTGACATTTGGGGATGTGGCTGTAGAGTTCTCCCCAGAGGAGTGGGAGTGGCTAGACTCTGCTCAGAGGAGTCTGTACAGGAGTGTGATGCTGGAAAACTACAGGAGCCTGGTCTCGCTGGGTAAAGGCCCCCCCTCCCTCCTCATCACCACACCCTGCACCATCCTCTTCCTTCAAGCCAAGGACAGACCCACAGCATGACCACGTCCCATTTCTTCTTACATATTTAGGACTTTGTGTTTCTAAGCCCAAAATGATCTCCTCACTGGAACAGAGGAAGGAGCCCTGGGTGGCGAAGAGAACGTTGACAAGAGGCGGGTGTCCAGGTGAGCGTGGGAGACCCAGGTGGGGTGAGGCTGTGGCGGTCGCAGCTCCGCGCCCTCAGACACCTGGGATCATCAGCAGCCTTGAGCCTCTGGCCTGGAGGGAAAATCTAGGCCTGGGCTTTGCAAATTCTCCTTCTCCCCATCTCCTCTCCACCTCTGCTTCCCCCCCACCAAGTGTAACTTTTTTGTTTGTTTTTGTGGCCACACCACGCAGCCTCTGGGATCTTAGTTCCCCAACTAGGGATCGAACCCACGCCCCCCCTGCAGTGGAAGGCCCTAACCCCTGGACCCCCAGGGAAGTCGTGTTACAACCTTTTTTTTTTTTTTGGCGGTACGCGGGCCTCTCACTGTCGTGGCCTCTCCCATCGGAGCACAG